TCAACTTCCATGACCTCTGAGAACAAAGCCAGCCCCCGGCCCACCAGCCTCCCCACAGTCATTCCTCCTGGGCCTCTTCCTCTTCTGTGGGGTTTTCTGAATTCCCCCTCCGCCACCCGATTATTTTCCCCACCTCTGGAGCAGAGACAAAATAAATATTTGTATAAATTTAAAAATTAAAAATTAAAAAAATTAAAAATAACTGAAAGGCATTTGTTTCTGAATGTGCGCTTTGTTTCTGAATTTGTTTCTTAATGTGGGTGAAGCACTTAGGCTCTGGAATTAGTCACCTGGGTTCAAATTCAAGGTCCACCAGTTACCAGCTTTATAATATTGGGCAAATAACAACTTTTTTTGTGCTTCTACTATCTTATATTTAAACTGTGATCATAAGTTCATAGTGAGGAATGAATGAAGTAACACTGGGCAAGTCTTAAAACAATCACACAGGCCAGGTGCGGTGGCTCAAGCCTGTAATCCCAGCACTTTGAGAGGCCGAGGTGGGCAGATGAAAATGTCAAGAGATCCAGACCATCCTGGCCAACATGGTGAAACCCTGTCTCTACTAAAAATACAAAAGTTAACTGGGCATGGTAGTGTGCACCTGTAGTCCTAGCTACTCGGGGGGTTGAGGCAGGAGAATTGCTTGAACCCAGGAGGCGGAGGTTGCAGTGAGCCAAAATTATGCCAGTGCACTCCAGCTTGGCGCCTGGCAACAGAATGAGACTCTGTCTCAAAACAAACAAACAAACAAACAAACAAAAATCATACATAGTAGATATTCAGTTAATGTTAACTATATTTCTTTTTTTATAATAGTTTGTAATGGGAATTCTTGAACACCATGTCATTAATCTTTGGAACAATCCAACAGGTAGGTAAGTAAATCTTAATTTTATACTTAAAGAAACCATGTGGCTTAACTTGCCCAAAATAATGAGTACTGGTTGTGTGTTTATCATGTACTTGGTACTTTGCACATATTAGCCTGGTCAGTCCTCATAATAGTTGGGAGAGAGATAGCATTCTTATCCCCATTTTACAGATGGGGAAACTGAAGCACACGCGTTAAGTAGTTTATCCAAGGTATCCTAGCTAGAATTCAGGTGAGGGCAGTCTGGCTGTCGAGCCCCTGCTCTGTCTGTCCCCTGCACTATCTGACCTCCCAGGACTGTACATTTGTAAGAGTCTGAGTGGATTCTTCTACACAGACCAACAGATTACAACGACTGAATCAGTCAACTTCCAACGGGGGTCCAAGAGAGAATGAACCATCTTGCCGCTCTAAATCCATGTTTCTATTTTGAGTCTTCAGTGAGAGATGAGTCACTAAGTAGCTAGTTTTGCTAGACTGGCTTGTTTTATTCATGTGGGGTGTGTGTGTATGTGTGTGTGTGTGTGTGTGTGTATACACACAAGTAAATTAAACTGGTAATTTGAATGCTCAAATTGCCGTTAATTTAATTTGTGTAGTGTGTGTATGTGAGCCCACAGGTACGCACGCACTAACCATACCGGAAGAATGACTTCGTGAAGAGCTGGATTTCCACTGTCAGACAAATGTAGGAAAGCGCTGAAGTCGGGCATTTCTGATAGATTTTACCACTGCAGGGATTTTAGTTTTCTTTATGACTTATATGCCTTCTGTGGAATTTTAATAAACAAAAGTCTATCTAATATGAGTCTGCATTTATTTCTTCAATCTAAACTCGTAAGAAACCTGTAGAGAACACAAACATTTTAGGCTAAGAGATGCTGTCCACGGTAGTTGTTTAAACATCTGAACAACTTCAACATTATTTTACATTTTAAAAGCTGAACTATGATTCCAAAGGATAAAATAATGATAATTCAATCATTTATGCATTGATCATATATTTATTTATTTGAGATGGAATCTTGCTATGTTGCCAGGTGGAGTGCAGTGGCATGATCTCAGCTGATTGCAACCTCTGCCTCCCAGGTTCAGGCAATTCTCCTGCCTCAACCTCCCAGGTAGCTGGCACTACAGGTGAAAGCTACCATGCCCAGATGATTTTTGTATTTTTAGTAGAGAATGGGTTTCATTATGATAGAGAATGAGTTTTCACCAAGATGGTCTCAATCTCTTGACCTTGTAATCCGCTCCCCCACCCCACCCCTGTCCTCCCGGCCTCCTGTAGTGTTGGGATTACAAGTGTGAGCCATCACACCCAGCTGATAATTCAGTCACCTAAATGACCAATTAAAGGTAAATCATTCATGCAAATTACCAGCTTGATGCAATTTAATCACTCAAAATAAGCATACATATATTGTATATGGTTTATTTTTCCTTTGAGACAGGGTCTCACTCTGTCACCAGGCTCAAGGGCAGTGGTACAATCTCAGCTCCACCTCTGGGTTCAAACCTGTTATTTACACTTTTCTTCTTCTTTTTTTTTTTTTTTTTTGAGATGGAGTTTCATCATTGTAGCCCAGGTTAGAGTGTAGTGGTGTGATCTCGGCTCACTGCAACCTCTGCCTCCCAAGTTCAAGTGATTCTCCTGCCTCAGCCTCCCAAGTAGCTTGGATTACAAGTGCATGCCACCATGCCAGCCTAATTTTTGAATTTTTAGTAGAGATGGGGTTTCACCATGTTGGCCAGGATAGTCTTGAACTCCTGACCTCAGGTAATCTACCCGCCTTGGCCTCCCAAAAGGCTACCAAAGAGCCACCGGGCCTGGCCTGTATGTCTCCTTTTAAAACACAAATGGAGGAATACCATACATACTCTTCTATATCTTAATTTCCGTAAGTTAACAAATAGATCATGGAGACCATTTCTTATTTATTTATTGAGATTTAACTAATTCATTTTAGTGGCCAAATTAATCTGTTTTTAAAGATGTTCTTCTTGATTCTATATTTTTATATGGGTTTTTTTTTTTTTTTCTTTGAGACACAGCTTACTCTGTTGCCCACACTGCAGTGCAGTGGGGCCATCTCTGCTCACTGCAACCTTCCCCTCCTGGGTTCAAGCTATTCTCCTGCATAAGCAGCCTGAGGAGCTGGGACTACAGTCTCACGTCACCACCCTGGGCGAATATTTGTACTTTTAGTAGAGACAAGGTTTCACTATGTTAAAATCAGTCCTTCAACTTTGACCCCATGGAGGAGTGCCTGTGAGGGTCTTAAATGAGTCTGCTGGTGTCAAGACAGAGGACAAGTTCTGGCTGGTACAGCTGCCTTTCAAGGAGAAGAGTGAGGAGGGAAAGAGAACTCAAGCCTGACCACTTTGTCTCTTTCCAAGTGAGATAAGGAGACATTTTATGATTAGGAAACAAAAAGAAGTCAGAAAGAGCGAAATCGGGCCGTAAGGTAAATTCCTAATGATTACTCATTGAAACTGACAAGATTGCCCTTGTTAGATGAGAATATTGAGCAGACCATTGACCTGACGGAAAAAGACTCTGGTGAGACTTTCCCAGCATTTTTCTGCTAAAGCTTTGTCTAAGTTTCTCAAAACACTCTCCTAAAAAGCCGATGTTTGGCCCTTCCGAAAGTCAACAAGAAAAATGCCTCGAGTGTCCCAAAATACTGGTGCCATGTTGTTGGCTTCTGACTAGCCTGCTTTTGCTTTGATTGGATCGCTACCACCTCTTGGTAGCCATTGCTTTGATGATGCTTTGTGTTCAGGATCATATTGGCAAAGCCATGTTCCATCTTCTGGTTACAATTTGTCCAAGAGATGCCTCAGGATTTTGATCCCTCCTGTTTAAAATTTCCACCAAAAGCTCCACTTGTAACTGCAGCTGATCTGGGCACAAAGGTTTTCATAGTCACTGCAGATCTTCAACATCTTCTCATCTCTTCTTCAAACAAGCCATACATTAGTAAACAGCTGATTTCTTTGGGGTATTGTCCTTATAAACTTTTCATAAAGCATCAATGATGTCTTCACTCTTGCACTCAAGCTTCACCAGAAACCTGATGTCTGTGCTTGCTGCAATTTAAGCAGAATTCGTGTTGCTCTGATGGGGGCCCCTTTCAACAGATGTCTTATCCTTCTTAGTGCCTCCAACTAGATCTAGTTCAGAATCGTTATAACCAGTTAGCACAAGCTTATTTTGGTGCAAAAAAAAAAAAATGATATTCCTGCATAGTTTTCTTACAGTGTACATTTTCTTTCTTTCTTTTTTTTTCTTTTTTTTTTGATATGGAGTTTCGCTCTTGCTACCCAGGCTGGAGTGCAATGGCGCGATCTTGGCTCACCACAACCTCCGCCTCCTGGGTTCAGGCAATTCTCCTGCCTCAGCCTCCTGAGTAGCTGGGATTACAGGCACGTGCCACCATGCCCAGCTAATTTTTTGTATTTTTAGTAGAGACGGGGTTTCACCATGTTGACCAGGATGGTCTCGATCTCTTGACCTCGTGATCCACCTGCCTCGGCCTCCCAAAGTGCTGGGATTACAGGCTTGAGCCACTGCGCCTGGCTGCAGTGTACATTTTCTATGAAATTTTTGAAGACCCCCCATATTGAACATTGCTCATGTCCTGGGAAAGAAGTGGATCCTGTCCACTTCGGGTCCTCAACTTACCCACAGTGCTCGAGGGGTGCACAGAGCAGGGAAAGGCAATCCCAGAGAGATCCTGCCCTCCAGCATGCAACAGACTGCTGGCCCAGTCCTGTCTCCATGGTGTGCTGTGTGGGCCTGGGCAACTTGACCAACCTCCCTCAAGCGTTGACTCCTGAGTAGCCCAGATCCAGTAGCCATTATAGGAGCTCTGTCCAAGGACAGTTAATTAAGTCAGAAAAAGCAACCTGGCTCAAGCTTAGCAACCAGGAGTTCCAGTGGATTCCATGAGCAGACCCTCTGTGGCATTCCCAAGCCAGTCTGGGGAAAGATTGATTAGGTTCAGTGTGATTAGTTCAGTGCCAACCTAATCGAGGGCAAATCCCGCCCACTTTGCCCTGTGAGTATATAAAGGCAGAGCGCAACAGCCGCGGCACTCCTTGAAGCCGCGAGTCGGGAGAGCAGAGCCAGGCCGGTGCTCCAGAAGGAAGCAAGATGTTGAGAGCCACAGCGCCCTGCTGGTTCCCACCTGGACATCCAGAAGGTCAGAAGGTGACCCAGGAGTCGGCCGCCAGTGCCCCTGGGCTCCTCCTGCCTTCTCATCAGCTGGCCCAGAACTTCGGGCTCTGGGTGCCCCAGATGTACCACCAGGCCTCAGCATTTGCAGTGCTCCAGACGGAGCCCCAGGGTCCAGCGATGTTCCCGGCATGGCCCCAGATGTCAAAGGAGGCTTGCTACTTGCCTGAGCAGAGGGGATCGGCCGGCTGTTTGCTGGCTGCCCCGAGGCTGACAGAGAGGCTCTCCTCAGTCCGCGTCTCAGCCCCCAGGGAGAGGAAGAGGATGACCCACTTTCCCAGCCCTTGCTTGGCCACAGGTCCCACAGACGCCAAGAGGACCCCGGCGGCCCCCAGCCGCAGCCAACGTCCCAAAGGCTCCAAGGTCGGCAGAAAGTCACCGAAGACGCACAACGGAACAGGGATGGCATCCAAGACCAGCACCACTGTCACCCCTAAGCGAATCGTCCATCTTCCGTCCTTACAGAGTTCAAAGAAACCCATTATCCTCCAACAGTCTGGGTGCCAAGTCCCCACCGTCATCCGCCGGGGCTTTCGCCAACTGTTCACCAAAGAGTGTCTCGAGTTCTGCGCCTCCAAGCAGGAGGCCGAGGAGAAGGCTCTGAACGAGGAGAAGGTGGCCTACGACTGCAGCCAAAGCCTGGACATCTACCTGAATTTGGCCTTGGACACGCTCAAGAGGCTGAGGGGCCTAACGCCCAGCTCCATGCCCGGCCTCAGCAGGACCGCCCTGTACAGCCGCCTGGAGGAGTTTCTGCTCACCCAGGACCAGCTCAAGGAGAACGGCTACCCCTTCCCGCACCCCTCGCGGCCCGGAGGCGCGGTCCTCTTCACTGGCCAGGGGAAGGAACCCGGCGACAGCGACTCCTCCTGCAGGGTCTGCTGCCGTTGTGGCACCGAGTACCTGGTGTCCCCCTCCGGCCGCTGTGTACGCGACCAGGTGTGTTCTTACCACTGGGGGCGGCTCCGCTGGAGCCAAGTGGCCGGAGGCTGGGGTCCCCAGTACACCTGCTGCGCAGCGGCCCCGGGCTCGGTGGGCTGCCAGGTGGCCAAGCAGCACGTGCGGGACGGTCGCAAGGAGAGCCTCCACGGCTTCGTGAAGACCTTCCAGAAAGAGCTTTCCAGAGACGCTTATCCAGGCATCTACGCCCTGGACTGTGAGATGTGCTACACCACGCACGGCCTCGAGCTGACCCGCGTCACCGTGGCAGATGCCGACACGCGAGTGGTATACGACACCTTCGTCAAGCCCAAGCACGAGATCGTGGACTACAACACCAGGTTCTCAGGGGTGACCGCGGCCGACGTGGCCAAGACCAGAATCACGTTGCCGCAAGTCCAGGCCGTCCTGCTGAGCTTGTTCAGCGCCCAAACCATCCTCATCGGGCACAGCCTGGAGAGCGACCTGCTGGCCTTGAAGCTGATCCATAGCACCGTGGTGGACACCGCCGTGCTCTTTCCGCACTACCTGGGCTTCCCCTACAAGCGCTCCCTGCGGAAGCTCACTGCCGACTACCTGGGACGGGTCATCCAGGACGGCCAGGACGGGCACAGCTCCAGCGAGGACGCCAACGCCTGCCTGCAGCTGGTGATGTGGAAGGTCCGAGAGCGCGCCCAGACCCAGCCGTGCCACGCAGCCGCCTCTGCCGCCGTCCCGGCCTGTCCTTAGCCCCAGGCCTCTCCAAACCTGTGTGGTCAATCCCGAGCTCTAACCCTGCCCACCTCGCGGCAAACGGAGGGAAACTGGAGGAGACGGAGGCAAGAGAGGGCAAACAACCCAGACTAACCCGGACCTCTGACCCCCAGTCCTCCAGTGTCCCAGCCGTGGCTCCTGAGGCCTGTCCCCATCCCTCTGACCCTCCCAGACCTCTTTCCTTCCACCACTTGCTTCCCCCAGCCCACCTCAACTTCCATGACCTCCGAGAACAAAGCCAGCTCCGGGCCACCAGCCTCGGGACCGTCATTCCTCCTGGGCCTCTTCTTCTTCTGTGGGATTTTCTGAATTTCCCCTCCCCCACCCGATGATTTCCCCCACCTCCAGAGCAGGGACAGAATAAATGTTTGTGTGAATTAAAAAATTAAAAATAACTGAAAGAGTTTTTTTCTGAATGTATGCTTAGTTTCTGAATGTTTCTGAATTTGCTTTTTTCATGTGGGTGAAGCACTTAGGCTCTGGAATTAGTCATCTGGGTTCAAATTCGAGTTCTACCACTTACTAGCTTTGTAATATTGGGTAAATAACTTTTTTGTGCTTCTGCCTTTTTTTTAAAAAAATTTATTTTATTTTTTTAAATTTGAGACAGAGTCTCACTTTGACACTAGGTGCCAGGCTGGAGTGCAGTGGCATGACCTCCGCTCACTGCAACCTCTGCCTCCCGGGTTCATGTGCTTTTACTTTCTTATATTTAAACTGTGATCATAAGGTCATGGTGAGAATGACTGAAGCAACACAGGGCAAGTCTTAAAACAATCATACATGGTAGGTATTCAGTTAATGTTAACTATATTTCTTTTTTTATAATAGTTTATAGTGGGAATTCTTGCATACCATGTCATTAATCTTTGGAACAATCCAACAGGTAGGTAAGTAAACCTTAATTTTATACTTAAAGAAACAATGTGGCTTAACTTGCCCAAAATAATAATGATCATATGAGTACTGGTTGTGTGTTTATTATGTACTTGGTACTTCGCACACATTAGCCCGGACAGTTCTCATAACAGTTGGGAGAGAGATAGCATTCTTATCCCCATTTTACAGATGGGGAAACTGAAGCACACGCGTTACGTAGTTTATCCAAGGTATCCTAGCTAGAATTTACGTGAGGGCAGTCTGGCCTCAGAGTAAGAGTCTAAGTGGATTCTTCTACACAGACCAATGGATTACAATGACTGAATCAGTCAACTTCCAACGGGGGTCCAAGAGAGAATGAACCATCTTGCCTCTCTAAATCCATGTTTCTATTTTGAGTCTTCAGTGAGAGATGAGCCACTAAGTAGCTAGTTTTGCTAGACTGGCTTGTTTTATACTTGTTTAGGGTGTATGTGTGTACCTGTGTGGGTGTACACACAAGGAAGTTAAACTGGTAACTTGAATGCTCAAATTATCATTAATTTAATTTTTGTATGTGTGTGTATGTGACTACACACACACAAAGACACTAAGCGTATTACAGCAATGACTTAGTGAAGACCTGGATTTCCAATTTGTCAGACAAATTTAGGAAAGCACTAAAGTAGGGTATTTCTGATGTATTTTACCATTACTGAAATTTTATTTTCCTTTGTAACTTAGATGTCTTATGTGGAGAACTAATTAATAAAAGTCTTTCTAATATGAGTCTGCAGTTATTTCTTCAATCTAAAGTTGTAACAGAACTTTAGAGAACACAAATATTTCAGTCTAACCATGGTTGTTAAACATCTGAATAACTTAAAAGTTATTTACATTTTAAAAGCTGAACTATGATTCCAAAGGATAAATTAATGATAATTGAATCATTGATCTATTTGTTTATTGAGATGGAATCTTGCTCTGTTGCCAGGCTGGAGTGCAGTGACGCTATCTTGGCTCACTGCAACCTCTGCCTCCCAGGTTTAAGTGATTCTCCTGCTTCAACCTCCCAAGTAGCTGGGACTAGAGGCTCAGGCTGCCACACCCAGTTAATTTTTGTATTTTTAGTAGAGACAGGGTTTCACTGCATTCGCCTAGATGGTCTGGATCGCTTGATCTCATTATCTGCCCTTCTGGCCTCCCAAAGTGCTGGGATTACAGGCATGAGCCACCTGGCCTGGCTGATAATTCAGTTATCTAAATGACCAGCTTAAAGGTAATTTAATTATGCAAATTACTATCTGGATGCAATCTAATCATTCAAATGACCAGTTTATTTTAGTTAGGCACACACGCACACATATATAAAATATCCAACTTATATGTAAAACATTCAACAATATCAGCCAATTCAACATTTACTTTTGGCCTTTTGTAGGCTATCAAGTACAGGACTTAGCAGGGCACATGCTTCCAACTGATTCTAGCACAGTACCTCCCACTGGCCTGTGTGAGCACACACATACACACACACAATAATTGTTCCAAGTGGTGAGCCTGTGATGCAGGCTGGCCAATCAGAATTTTCCCTAGGGCTTTTCAAACTAATGGTAGGAGGAAGAAGCCTCTTTTACTCTTTGCTAACGGAACTTATTAGGATATGAACTCAGAAGTGTCTCGTTTCTTAGAAACTGAGAAGAGGGGCTCATGGAAAAGCCCACTGAGCTAATGAAGCTGACATTCAGAAAGATGTGGAGGAGGAGTGTGATTGCACTCTGGTGACCTTGAAGTTCCTGGTTCTCTAAGGCCACTGCTGCACCTTCCTCTCTCAAACTGGCTCAATCAATTTTCCCTTTCTGTTTATTGTAGTTCCTGTTAGGATCTGGGAGCTTGCTTCCTGTAAATACAAAGGAGTAGTGGAAGGTGATCCTAGATGGCACTCCGTGTTAGAGAGAACGCTTACATTCACTGTTGCTGAGCTGTAGACTGACAAAGTCTTTTCTTTTTTGATGGCAATTTAGTAGAACATGCCAAATTTTACAACTAAAATTTACAGAGACAAAAACGCTTTGGCCTAGACATTCCACACTTAGAACCTCCACTAGGGAAATATTAACACACTTTGATAAAGGACATACAAGAAAGATGTCCACTGAAATATATTTGCACTAGCCAAACTCAGTGGCAACCAAACTATCAATAGAGAAATGCTGAAAATAACTTATGGCTCACCTCCCATGGAGCGCTCTGCACATAAATAATAGGCTGTCTTTATGTGGAAGGATGGGCATAACATGTTATTGGGGAAAAAATCAAATTGCAAAAGTAGAATCTAAGTTTGGTAACAACAAGCTAAATTCAAATTAGTATATATATATATGTATATATATATATATATATATATATATATATATATATATATACATATATATAGCATATGGGATTTTTCTTTTTCCTTTTGAGACAGAGTCTCACTCTGTCACCCAGGTTGGAGTGCAGTGGCCCTTAATGTCAGCTCATGGCAACTTCCACCTCCTGGGTTCAAGAGATTCCCCTGTCTCAGCCTCTCAAGTAGCTGAGACTACAGGTGCCTGCCACCATGCCCAGCTAATTTTTGTATTTTTAGTAGAGATGGGATTTCACCATGATACCAGGCTGATCTCAAACCCCTGACCTCAAACGATCCACCCATTTTGGTCTCCCAAAGTGCTGTGATTATAGGTGTGAGCCACCATGACCAGTCTGTGTATGTTTTATATGCACATGACAACTATGTAAGAATACACACGAAGTTGTTGAAGTGGTAAGGCCTAGGGGATGCGACCAAGGGTGAGGAAAGGAAGCTGAGTTCTTTAATTTTACTTTATAGCTTTCTGCATTGTTTGTATTCAAGTTGTATGTATTACTTTATTTGTTTTTTAAAAGCAATTTTGAAAAGAAGATAGTTCTATCTACTGTGTCACACCTTAGAAGCGAAACTTCTTAGAAAAGGGAGAAGGATGGCCAGGCACGGTGGCTGACGCCTGTAATCCCAGCAGTTTGTGAGGCTGAGGCGGGTGGATTGTCTGAGCTCAGGAGTTCAGGAGCTCAAGACCAGCCTGGCAACACAGTGAAACTGTCTCTACTAAAACACAAAAAATTTGCTGAATGTGGTGGCATGGACCTGTAATGCCAGCTACTCAGGAGAATTGCTCGAACCTGGGAGGCAGAGATTGCAGTAAGCCAAGATCATGCCACGGCATTCCAGCCTGGGCAACAGAGCCAGACTCTGTCCCCAAAGACAAATAAATAAATAATAAATAAATAAGGGAGAAGGGAATAAATTGGGCAGAGATCTTAAGGTTTTGATTCAGCTCCAACTCTAACATGTTTTGGAAGAAGCAGATCCATCTCTCTACCTTTGTTCATCCATCTGAAAAATGGGAGATTTGAATTACAGAGGTGTTAGGTCCATATATGGCCTATATTAGGTACACATGCTCAATTTATAAACACAGGTCTTTTTTACGTTTTTTGACATACACAAACACAATTTTGAGTTTGGAATAACATTTGGAATACATATATTAAACAAAATGCATGAACATTAAATATGTCTTAATTATAACATAGTGACCACACTTTAACCAAAAGAGATTTGTTTATGCTTATCTTTTTTCTCCAAGTGAACATTGCTGTTGTTGCTGCTGAAAGGATTACTGTGTTACCTTTTATGTAAAATCAAAGCCCACAACACCTTCACTTGCCTTATATTTTAAGCTCTCCCTGTATGGGTGAAGGTTGTAGAGTGAAATTTGTTTTTCTTTCTTTTCTTTCTTTTCTTTTTTTTTTTTTTAATTGAGACAGAGTCTCTCTCTGTTGCCAGGGTGGAGTGCAGTGGCGCAATCTCAACTCACTGCAACCTCTGCCTCCCAGGTTCAAGCGATTCTCCTGCCTCAGCCTTTCGAGTAGCTGGGACTGCAGGCGCACACCACCATACCCAGCTAATTTTTGTATTTTTAGTAGAGATAGGGTTTCACCATCTTGTCCAGGATGGATTTGATCTCTTGACCTGGTCATCAGCCCTCCCTGGCCTCCCAAAGTGCTGGTATTACAGGGATGAGCCACGCTCCTGCCCAGAGTGGAATTTCTAGAAAGGAAGGAGGCTAATGATCAAGTCCTGATGAAGCAGGCATGTGAACAGCAGCTTTCTTGCTATT